AAACCCCAAAAAAAAAAAAAAAAAAAACTCCCTGGGGTGCCAGCACACAGGGAGGGTTCAGTAGGTCAGAGCAATCTGAGAATCTGTATTATGACTGCACGCTGGGTGGCTCTTTTTTATTTATTTTTTAAAAGAATTATTTTATTTTAACTTTAACTTGACCAGAAAGGTACAGAGAGAGAGAGAGTGAAAGCAAGCTGTCAGGTCTGGGACTCAAACCGCTGTCAGCCACTTAGGAGCCAGACCCCTTAACTACCACACCACCTGCCCCCCTGCACCCACCCCAGCGATTCTTATAGTCCAGCAAGTTTGGGGGACTGGAGGCCGCCTGCTGTGGGATTCATGGACAGGCCGCAAGAGACAGGCCCCTGCAACTCCAGAGCCTACCCCGGGCTACTCTCCTCACACCTGGCAGAGCTGGGCTCTGGGCCCGCGCCACCCTCAGGAAGGAGGCCTCCCGCTCTGGGAAACGGCCCAGGCTCAGGGCCACTGACACCCCTCTCGCTTTCTGCGTAGGCTGAAGAGCCTGGAGCCGGCTGCTGTGGGAGGCTCAGACGTGCGTGTGAAGATGCTGGCGGCCCCCATCAACCCCTCCGACATAAACATGATCCAAGGTCGCCTTGGTCTCTTTGGCTTTTTCCTCCGCACCCAGGTGTGGTTGGCAAGCTCCTGTGATGAGCAGCAGCTGTTCTCCAGATGTGCCTCGGCCCTTCTCCAGGCTTTAAGTCCTCCCAAGAGTTAGGAGGGTCAGCGTCCGCCCTTCTCTGGGACGCGAGGCCTCCCGGGAGCTAGGAGGGTTGCGGGGAATACGCCGTCCTGGCGCGCTGGGTCCATCTCAAGCTGTGTAACCCTCATAAGGACCTGCCTGCTCAGAGGGTGGCCAGGTAGCAGCTAGCAGGAGGCCAAGCCCAACGGGCTCAGGTGTGCCTGACCCCAGAGGCCGTGCCCATCACTGCCCACCGTGTCGGCTGACCCTGGCGTCTTCCCTCAGGAAACTACGGCCTCCTCCCCAAGCTGCCTGCTGTCGGAGGGAACGAAGGCGTTGGACGGGTGGTGGCCGTGGGTGGCAGCGTGACCCGGCTGAAGCCAGGAGACTGGGTGATTCCAGCGAACGCTGGTTTGGGTGAGTTCTCTGGGTGTTGGCCTTTCTGTTCTCCAGACCCTGTCGGCCGCTCCGTACACGCCCCTCAGTGGCTTGGGGCGCCTAAGCAAGGCGGACTTGGGGTCCAGTCAGTGCTCCTGCCTCCAGCGGGGCTGCATGAGCTCTGGAGCTGACATGCCGTGTTCTCAGCCCCTGCCCAGCTGTCAGACTAGAGTACCGAGTCGGAACCCTGCTGCAAGGTGCAGGAGGATGCACCCACAGACAGCACAGTCCCCGCCCTCCAGGGGCCTCAACTCTGCCCAGAATCCCCAATCCAGGAACCTGGACAAGGGGAGAGCTGCAGGGTCACAGGAAGCAGGGGCACTTCTGGCCCCTATGTGCGTACGGGGTGGGGGAGGTGTCTTGGGCGAGGGTCAGAACAAGCTTCGTGGAGGAGGCCCCTTCGAGGGGACCTTTGAACTGCATTGGGAGGAAGTGGAGTGAGCAGACACAAGAGGCGAGCGTGGGCAGTGTGGAAGCCCAGTGGCCACGGCGGGACTGCAGCGGGCGGAGGGCGCACGGGCAGGTCGGCCCACTGCAGCGAGGCCCTGCGAGCCACACCAAGGAGGAGGCCACTCTCCATTGCTGAGGCAGCGCGGGTGGCGAGGTGCGTGCTGAGCACCTGGTGGTCCGAGCGATGCGCAGCACGCCCGTCACACTGCAGCTCTCATGGCGGTGGGGACAGCGAGGCCAGCAGCCTTCCTCGCTAGGCACCGAGATCCGCAGCACAGTGAGAGTGAGCCCGCTGGCTCTTCTGCCCCCCACTGTGCTCCGCTTACAGAGGCCCAGCTCAGGCCTCTTTTGTTTCTTTGGTCTTTGGCTTTAATTGTCAGAGTGTGTGTGTTCACCAGAGAGGGGGGACGAAGGAGAAAGTACCCCCCAGTTATGGTCATTCCTCCATCGCCTCCACTTCTCCATCCTGTCAGGGTTCTGGGCACACGTACCCCATGTGTTTCTCAAGGCACTGGGTCTAGAACCTACACCGCGGTCAGCCAAAGTACCAGGCTACGGTACTTGCTTTTAAAAAGTTGTTCACTGGGGCCAGCAAGTGGCATGGTGGTTAAGGTGCTGGACTTCTTATGGTCAGCCGTGGTTCGAGTCTTGAACCTGGCGGCTTGCTTTCTCTTTCCTTCTCTCTCTGTCTCTCTGGTCCAATTAAAAATAATTAAGTTAAATAAATAATTATTTTTTTAAGTTGTTAATTATGAGACTGAAGTATAAGAGATCGAAAGCTAGGGCCTGCTGATGGTGTGGTGGTTAAGGTGGTGGATCCCACACAGGACCATGTGGTTCGAGTCCTGGACCCAGCAGCTTGAAAAAAACACTGAGTGCGTGTGTGCATGCCCAGAATCCTGAGAGGAGAGTGGAGGAGGAGGGATTGTGGTGTGGGGGTGCTCTCTCTCTTTCTCTCTCTTTTCTGATGTGTACATACGCCCTATAGCAAAACTAAAAGAGAAAGATTGAAAGCTTTGGGAACAGCTGTGTCCAGGAACCCCAGTGACCTCGGAGCTCGCTCTGGGCCTTGCTGGCTCTCAGATGGAACATCCCCCGTCGTGGTATGTCTATAATTAGAGCAACACAGGCGGACCGCTTCGTCCATGCTGGGCACCGTTCCGAACCCATGTGTCTCACCCCACTTCACTAAGCACTCTACTATTCCCATTTCGCAAACGAGGTGATGACATAAATGTAAAGGATTTAGCTCGCCCGGGGTCACCCCCCAGCGAATGGGGGTGCTAAGCTTCAGCCACACTGCAGCTTGCCTCTCGTGGCTGGCCCGACAGCCTGGAGTGTGGGTGCGTTCTCCACAGCCGTGCCTGGCACACCCATGGCCACCCAAGGGCATTAACCTGCCCTGCCTGAGGCCTCACCCACCCGCGAGCTGCTCCAGTTACCCACCTCGGTGGTGCAGAGGGTGGGAGCACTTCGGAAAGGACCGGTGCAGGCCAGAGTGCGCAGCGCGGGTCGGGGCCCTGCCTGAGGGCTGCACTCTCCTACTCCCCCGGCTGAATGGAGCCGTCTGAGCAGGTGAAGAGCCGCAGGGCCACAGGACACAGGAGTGCTTTGGGCCGTCTGCATGCTGGCCACGCGTGCACGGAGATGGCCCTGCCCTCCAAGTGCCCCACTGGGGTGAGAGGCCTGGGGCTGGAAGGACATTGCTTAAACACGGGCAGAGCAGTCTGGGACCACGGGGTGGACGCGAAGGCGAGAGCTCCCTACTTGGGAACCCTCAGGAGAAGCGATGCTCGAACTTGGTCTGGAAACCCCACGTGTGGAGCTTGGGGGGCTTCCCAGGCAGGGCACAGCACGTTCAGAGGAGGGTCCTGGGTACGAGTGGAGGGAAGCGAGGCGGAGGCGAGCTGGCTTGGTCGTGGGCGTCGTCTCCACAGGCGGGCCTCTCATGGAGGGCTGAGTGGGGCACGTTCGATAGGACTGGCACAGTGCAGCATGGTCCGGAAGCCAGGCAGGGTGCCAGTGAGCTGTGGGTGAAGAGTCCGGCAATGCCATCGGACGGGAGAAGAGGGCTCAGGCTGAAGTGATGGGGCCGCAGTTCCTGGTGTAGTGGTGGCAGTAGGAGCTAGAACGGGTTCCTGCCGGGAGACAGACAGAGAGGAGGAGGCGTTGGATTGTAATCGGCCCCGTTTACCGGTGGAACTTGCCATGGGCTTGCTCACGAAGGCGTGTTCTGGTAAGTTCAGCGTTTCACTTGGCCAGGGCTCGGTCCCTCTCACGGCACTGAGCTGCCAGCTGCTGCTGTGCCTGTGGCCATGCCCCACCACGTGCAGCCTGCCTAGAGTGGCAGGGACCTGGGCATGGCAGGGTCCCAGGCCGACCTCACTGGGGACGCGGGGCGGCAGGAGCAGTGCTGGCTCCGCCGGGTGACTACTTAAGACCCGACAACCTTGTGCCTCAGGTCGCTGCCATCTGCGATAGAGCCCAGTCACTGCCCGCATCTCGGCAGACTGCGGGCTCAGCTGGGAGGACGCCCAGCCACTGCTGCCAGTGTAGCTTCTGTGTGCGCTGTAGAGCTGGGGGCTCTGCAGGTCGCCCTGTCGTCCTGACGCACCCAGGCTTCCCTGTGCACAGTCCTAGGCATATACAGGCGAGCCTGGCTGCAGCCCAGTGGTGCCAGACTCGGCCGTGGCTATGGTGTCCCCACAGGGAGCTGGTGATGGCTCAGGCTCGGTGCATGTGGTGCAGGACAGGAGTCCTCAGAGCTGGGGAGCAGGGTCAGTCCAGACCGGCACGTGTCACACACCTGTGGACAAGCCGCAGTGATGGTCTCTAACGGCATCATCTCGTGTCATCATTGCCCTGTGTCATACGTGTCACTCTGCGTTTCATGATCTGGAGAACTGGAACTCAGGACAGTGAAGGGATCATTGAGAGTCACACAGGCAGAGAGTGGCCAAGCACAGTTCTACGTCTCTGCTTTAACGCCTAAAGATTCATACTTTAAACATGCCCCCTCAGCCCAGCTCTCTCAAGAAGCGGATTAGGGACCAGCAGTTGGTGTAATGACTATGTCGCTGGACTCCCATGTAGCCAATCATGGTTTGAGTCCCGGACCCAGTGGCTTAAACTCACGCCAGGCACGTGTGCGTGCATGCCCAAGATCCCGAGAGGAGAATGGAGGAGAAGGGATTGCGGTGTGGCCATTGCCCCCGGGGGTGATTTCTCGCTTTCTGTCTCTCTGTCTCTGTCTCTCTGGCAGGCGCATGCGCCCTATAGCGAAAACCTCTCAAAAAAAAATGGTGGATTAGGGGCTGCTGAGCCAAGAAAGCCCTAGCAAGGCCAGATTCCCATGGCCCTGCCAGAAGGGGGTCAGAAAACCAAGTGTGTAGACAGGAAGCCCTGCACAAAGCGTGTGGTGCCCAGTGAACATGAGCGGTGCTGGGAGGGTCTGAAAAACAGGCCACGTGAAGCCCAAAGGATGCCAGGACGCCTCCCGTCATGTCTCAGCCAGGCCTGCCCCAGGGTGGACGCAGCCTTGAGTCAAGCACTCTGCCTACACGCCCCGGTCTGGGTCCCTACACTCTGCACCACTGTGCCCTCCTGCAGCACGGTTCGTAGTGGCCTGTGCCACCCACACTTTCCCACAGCCAGACTGCTGGCACCAGGGTGCTCTAGCACCCAGCACCTGTAGAGAAGGCTCACCTGCTTTGGAAGCACTGGCCAGCAGTCCTGGAGCACCCCCACAGCCCCCAGACGCTCGACCCCACGAGGCTCCAGGAGGCTTTGCTGAGCCACGGACTGTCCTCGCCACCCTTCCCGTCTGCAGGGTCCTGCCTGTGTGAGGGAGGACCTGTCCCCTCAGCTCGTCAAACCCTGCTCGTTCTCTCTGCGAATTAGAACTCGAGGGCCAGCCTCGTGGCCTGTTGGTAAGAGAGCTGGATCCCACGTGGCCACCTATGGTTCAAATCCCGACCCGGCAGCTTGTAAAACTTGCCAGGTATGGGTGTGTGTGCCGGCCCCAGATCCTGAGGGATGGAGAAGTGGAGAAGTGATTGCTCCATTGGAGGACACTTTCTCCCTCTTCCTCTCTCTATCTCTCTGTCTCTCCCTGGTAAGCACATGAACCTCTGGCTTTAAAGGTATGTAGACTCGAATCGGTCCCTTCTCGTCCCACGGGCAGGGTCTTGGGCTGGCAGCCATCATCTCGTACCCCAACTCTGCACAGCCTCCACACCGCCCCTCCCCAGCCTGTGGTCTTTTCCAGACAGCAACAAAGTGACCCAGAGCACACACAGGTTCACCTCGGGCTCCGCTTACTGAAGCCGCTCGGACACCCCACACGGATAAGGCCCACTGCCCACACCGAGCCCTGGTTTTCAGACTGCAGGCTGAGGCCTGTTGGCAGAAGCAGCCAGCGGCTACAGGCAGGCTTTTCTTCCTGAGGCAGCAGAGCAGGGTAGAGCCGGGGCCGTCCACGCAGGAAGGGCAGAGGCTGCTCCCCAGAGCCGTGCTCGGTGCAGTCTGTGCCTGTGTCACACCTGCCGTGGTCAGCGCCATGGGAATCTAACAGTCATGGTCCTGCCGTGGGCTGCCCTTCCCATCGTCCTCTGCTCTGCAGTCCAGATGCTTCCAGTCCCACTGAGGTCTGTCCTGCCCGGGAGCTGGCCTGCTTGGTCCCCTGCACGCCCTGTTCTCCTGTACTCGGAGTGGATCAGGCCTGTGGCAGAACCCTCAGACTGTCCCCTCAGAGCTGTCTCTCTGCTGCCTAAGGTAGTCCTCTCCTTGGAGCCAGCAGGTGGCATAGTAGTTGAGGCACTGGGTTCCCACATGGCCGATGGCGGTTCGAGTCCCAGACCCAGCAGCTTGAAACTTACGCCAGTCACATGTGCAGTGTGGCCATCCCCCAGGGGGTGAGTTCTCGCTTTCTGTCTCTCTCGCCTGCACCCTACAGCAAAAATAAAATAAAATAAAAAGACTGAAAAAGGAAGCGGCCCTCTCCCTGCCGCTCCCTGCAGTCTGGAGTGGCTGGTCTCCTTGTGCGGCTCTCACCTGTCCACCGAGGGCGTAGGGAGCACGCCTGACTCGCCCAGTGCTCAGGCCCGGAGTTCCCGCTCCTGCCCCCCAGGTGGGCCAGGCAGTTTTGGGCACATCGCCCCCCATCCCTCCCTGCTGGGTGAGGATAAGGGCCTTCTCGTGCTGACCTGGAAGGCTCTCATCCAGACCAGAGCAGGCCAGCTGGCGACCATGTCTCCGCAGACAGGCCTCTGCGCCCGAGGCAGGTGCCGTGCACACCTCAGGCATGACAGTTGATGTGTAGAATTTGCTCAGGGCTGGACTTTGCTCTGCCCTGGCACTGGCTGCTTCCTGGGGCTGGCCGGAATGGCCCGCGTTAGCCCGAGTCAAAAGGCACCTCGCACCCCCCGGGCAGCCTCCGCCTCCTCTGGCACGTCTTTACATGGGGTGGCAGGGTTTACCGTCCGTCCTTTCCAGCAGGCTCGCACAGCTTGGCACTGGCCAGCCGCCTCTTCCCCGGGAAAGTGAGCGGGGTTGGGGGTGCAGAGGGTCCCTCCTCACCCCCACCTGGCCTCCTCCCAACTCAGGCACCTGGCGGACTGAGGCTGTGTTTGGCGAGGAAGCCCTGATCCGAGTTCCGAGCGACCTCCCTCTTCAGAGCGCCGCCACCCTGGGCGTCAACCCCTGCACGGCCTACAGGATGCTGGCGGACTTCGAGCAGCTCCAGCCAGGTACGGGCCTGTGCAGGGCCTTGCTGGCCCCTGGGCAAGTGCGTCCCTGTTCTCGCCCCTAGAAAGGTGTTAGCGGGTTCCTAGGAGACATGCAGAAACCATGAGGGTACACTGAAAACTGCCACAGGGTCACATTTCCCAGATGGGGGTGGCATCCCGCCCTTCGGCACAAAGGAGCTGAGCCGCTTTAAGCTCTGGGGACGCAGAGCCAGACAGGACAGGCACAGCCCTGGGTTTCCAGGAACGCTGACCCAGCAGCGTCGCGGGGTGTTCTCCAGCTCGCGTCAGCGTCCCAGGCATTATCCCCGCTGAGTGCGCTGAATCGACAAAGCAGCACCATGAGGTCGGTGTCAGATCAGCACTAAAGACGACCGAGCTCTGAACCCTGCCATCAGATTTTCCCGTCAGAATGCCCGCAGGCTGGTGGGACCCCGCAGGGTGACACTCAGACGGGGCTGGTGGGACCCTGCAGGGCGACACTCAGACGGGGCTGGCATCCAGCCGCTTCTCAGTCCTCCTTGTTATCAGTGGGGAAACTGGGCCAGAGAGGTAAGCTGTTGGGGTGAGAGCTCCCCAGCAGGTCCATGGTGAGGCCAGGTGTGGTACTGGGGTTCCACCGAAGCAGAGCCCGAGACCAGGACTGGGAACAGACAGTTCGTTTGGGAGGTGACCCAGGAAGCA